CACAGACGAGGACACACAAAGGATATTTAGGATTATGTACAGATTAAAGGAACAGGGCTTACTCTCCTTGTGGGCTAGACCTCCTGTGGCTCCAGTAGGCTCCCGAGCAGCTCAGATGTCCTCCACCTTCACTCCTTTCCTCGCCGGCGCGTCGGATTATGTGTGACTCGTAATGGCGTCGCCGCGGCGTCCTTTTCTTTGTCCTGTCACGGTCGCCACTTTTGTCGGAGACAAATAATACTTCTTCTTGATAGTGATAAGTATTTTAATTAGGATAAATTTTAAATACAGGTTTACAAGGACAACGCGACACTGGCTTCGCTTAATATTAATTTCGTTAATTTTCGACCATGCTCTAGCGGCGTACGTAATGTTAGCAATGGCGGCGCGTCGCCTCGGCTGCCGCGCGCGCGGCTTGCGCCCGCGTCCCTCTCTCCACCCCCTCGCGTCCCATAGAGCCGGGCACACATCCGGTCGGTTTTAGTAACTTTTAGTGTGGGGCGCGAACAAATATTATAAATAGGTATTTGTGAGTTTGTATGTAGGGGGTAATCTCTGGAACCGCTAGTCGGATTGTCAAAATTCTTTCACTGATAGTTAGCTACAATATTCCTGAGTGCTATAGGCTATAAAAAATCACGCTACGATGAAATGGAGCAGAGGAGCGGGTGAAACCGCGCGATAGTAGCTAGTCGTCGTATAAAATGTTCAGACATATAGGTAAGGTATGACCTATATAGTTATGACAAAGTCTAGCCATTCCAATCTGTGCCGAAAATAATGTTTATGACGAAAAGCTAATTTCAATAAAAATATACTTAGGTATGAGTATGTATAAATCTGGATATATCACATAACTTGATCCGACGCCGACTGGTCGTAATATTGTAACGGTGATACAGTCGCGTACGGTTAGTGCGAGCATCTGTTATGTAGTCCGCAATAAATAGATTGTTATGATGCTAATAAAATGACCCGCAGTCCCGCAGTAAAGATAAAGTAACGTAAGGCTCGCACAATACGCACGAATAAAACCGTAAGTGACACGACCGTAAACCTCTTCCCGATATGTAACTTCAACTTCTTCGGTTCACGATGTAAATTTTTTACGACATACTTGAAACTTTTAGTGGGTCTTTATGGCAACCTAATTACTTGTTTTACCTACATTTGAGTTTGAGATGGTTACTCAACTCGACTTACATGATTGAGAAATTCCCGGTTTTATTTTAGATTTTATCGTAATTGGAAATGACGCGTTTCATCTATGTCTCGATGAAGTCAATTAGTATAGATTTCAATTTGGATTGGGCCTCCGGTAACCTCACTCACACGCCGAAACAACGCTGTGGGTTATTTCACGCCGGTATTCTATGAGGCCGTGGTATCACTCCGGTCGAGCCGACCCTGTCGTGCCGAACCTTGGCTCTCCCACACTTAATTATACTATTTTATTCTTAAATTATTGTATAGTTACAAAAGCATGTTATTATTAACCTAAAATTCTTTAACTTTTATAGCTGATAGGTATATATTTTATAACAAATTATTACATTTGATTTTGCTATTGTACTTTAATTCTATTGTGATGTAACGATCAGTTACCTAGAACAAACACAAAGCGAAGCAAACTATAATTTATTTCTGGCCTCGTAAAATATTTTTGAAATTAGTTTAAACCGGTTTTTTTACTCTATTAGTTATGCCATGGCCTTCGTCTGCTGAGTCGGTCATTCAAACGATATTTTTAGCTATTAGCTAACCACGTATATTATGGAGTATAGATTTTAATACCAAGCCTACATTATTAGTTTTCGAATCATCAATTAACAAGATATTTAATAAAGTATGAATGACTCTACTTAAATATTAATGAAGAATCTGGAACAGACCAGATATTGTCATAAGATAGTGAACCTACCCGCATTGCAACTATCGTTATTTTTTTTTTTTTTCAGATTAATAGGTCGGCAAACGAGCAGACGGATTACCTGATGGTAAGCAATCAGCGCCGCCCATGGACACTCGCAACGGAGGAGTTCTTTACGAGTGCGTTGCTGACCTTTTAGGGATTAGGGATTTGGAGATTTAGGGATTTAGGAGGGATTGGGCCTCCGGTAACCTCACTCACACGGCGAAACACAACGCTGTGGTTATTTCAACGAGTTATTATGTTATTAACTGCTACGAGCTCTTCGAGAGCTACCATTGTTGCTATAAGCAACTTAAAAAAAAGTGTTCATCCCCATCACATAGATGGTTCGCACTTAACAACTGTGCGGTTCACCCGTAACTTTCTGCTCCGCACAGCAAAACTTTGGAATGATCTTCTGGCGGCGGTATTCCTGAACCGATACGACCTTCAAACCTTCAAGAAACGAGCGTACTCCTTCTTAAAAAGCCGGCAACGCACCTGTGACTCCTCTGTTGTTGCAGGTGTCCATGGGCGGCGCCAATCGCTTACCATCATCCGTGATCCGTCGGCTCGTTTACCAAAAAAAAAATTTAATTAAATGTTCTTTGTAAAAAAAATTAATGTTTTTTATGATATAGGGCGGCAAACGAGTTGTTGCATTACCTGATGACTAGCATTGACGTTACGAGCTCGTTGCCGGCATTTTGGGGATTAGACTTATGGAGGTTTAGGTATTGGGAACGGGAATAGGGATAGGGTCTCCGGTAACTTCACTCGCACGGTGAAACACAACGCTATAGTTGTCTCACGCCCGCGTTCTGTAAGGCTATGCTATATTATAGTATTAGTTTGATCAAGCCGGCCCATTCGTGCCGAAGCATGGCATACCCACACATCCACTTGATTAGCATCCAAATCTGGTCGGTTTTTTGTTTAATAAAACTTTAGTATTATATTTACAAAGTATATGAACTTCTTTGCGCTATACTTAGGTTTCTCCTAATTCCATTTGGATAGAAGCGGCCAGCAACCAAATTGCATTTAAGTTTTGTGCTTAGTTTTTTTTACTTCATATAGACTAGTGCTTGACTGCGATCCCACCTGATGGTAAGCAGTGATGCAATCATTGATGGTAAGGCGCACTAGTTTATTAAAAGCCTATTCACTCTAGCTTTGAAGACACCTAAATTATATTTGGATGGAAAGACTGCAGCCGGCAAACTGTTAGTAAAATATTTTCATATGCAGTTATTTGTGATATTATTCAATACGGTTTTCTAAAGTGATTTTTCCTTACGCAAATAACTAATAAGTATAAATTACACCTAACTACTACCGTCCACTTGAGTAAGCATGCAACCTTATCAATGTTTTCTCAAAGTAAACACTGGAATTGATAAATTATCCTTGTTCAACCGTTCTATTACTTAATCATTATCTGTGTAACACTTATCAGACAATCGCCAGGCTATACTTGTTACATAGTTAATGGTTAATAATATTTTAATGTTTTTTCTCGAAATATTTGAGAATGGTCAAAGAGATTAGGTGTAGCAGTTAATTGGGTTAATTTAACAATAGCTGTATTGTTCTAAAAAAAAATTAAAGCTTCGTTTTTAGATAACAAACATAATGTCTTAATATTTAGAATACAAAGTTATAAAAAAAACTTTTTTTTCAACGATTCAGTAAGTTAACCTTTTTAGTCGTGATAATTCGAGACATAAGAAGAACAATAGGCGCGAACAATGGCATTTGCTTGAGATTTGATGAATTAAATGTATTGGCCATAGTTACACCCAGGTTCCGAAACGCCGATCAATGTTAAAATCAATTTAATCTCTTGTCAAGTCATCTGATTGGTTGACTGAATTATCAACAACCAATCAGATGACTTGACAAGAGATTTAACAGGAGATTAGTTAATTTTAGCGTTGACAAGCCTTTCAGAAACCGGGTGTTAATGTCATTATATTATGATACTCTGCATAATTACCTTAAAAAGAAATAATCCTTCATAATCGAATGTCACCTCACTCACCTCCAAGCGGACAACGGGTCAGCTTAGTTAATGCTGTATCGGACACAACTTACGTCAATGACTTTATGAATATCTAAAATGCATTTAATTGTCGCAATAAATTGCCAAGAACAAATGTTTAGACTAAGATTACGATTTCTTTTTTTTAAATAGGTACAATTTAATCCTGGTTGTGTTAACCAGGTGCCGATAATTTTGAGGGCCTAGGTCTTGAAAAATATCGGTTTAATAAAATAAACCGCCTAAACAAGTGTGGAGGTTACAGCAACTTTTTAACTGTGTACTAAATAATAAATATTTTTAAACACTAACTATCGTGAGACATAGGTACTAATTTTTTTTTTATTTCTAAAAGGTCGGCAAACGAGCAGATGGACTACTGATGGTAAGCAATCAGCGCCGCCTATGGACACTCGCAACGGAGGAGTTACGAGTGCGTTGCCGACCTTTTAGGGATTAGGGATTTGGGGATTTAGGGATTTAGGAGGGATTGGGGGAGGGTAAGGATTAGGCCTCCGGTAACCTCACTCACACGGCGAAACACGACACTGTGGTTATTTCACGCCGATTTTCTGTGAGTCCGTGGTATCACTCCGGTCGAGCCGACCCATTCGTGCCGAAGCATGGCTCTCCCACACTTAAATTACTAAATTTTTTTTTACTTAATTACTTAAATTTACAATAACGACTTATCACGTGAGTAAACTGAGAAAACCTCTACTATGAATAAGAGTCCCTATTTGACTTAAAACTAGTAGACATTTTCTCAGTTCATTCGGTGAGTGTAATAAATAAATACATACACATATAACTGTACATATGAAAATAAACAAATACCTTTGCCCAATAGACGACGTCATCACACTAATGAGGGACAAGTTCGTCCCTTATTCAAAAGAGAGCTAACGAGTGCAAAAGCTATAAGCAAAAATGGGCACTTATTACGTACTCGCCTGTAGGTAGGTTTGTGACTTCAGATTTTGTAAATCTGACGATGATCTGAAGTCCATTCTTCTGATATATCACAATTCGTTATTGTTTCAGTTAAGCTACTGTGGTCAAGAATGCAGAAGGATACCTCCAGCGTTACAGAAGATGTATGGAAACAAAGTAAAATGTTTAGACCTAAGGTACGTATGTAAATATATCTGGACACTGGTACAATCCACAGAATTAGTGAAATGATGAACTTTTTTAACACGCTATAAAAATGCTTTAACTTGATATTCAATATTGCTAAGCAGTCAATACTGTAACTAAGTATGTGTGGGAGAGCCAATCCTTGGCACGAATAGGTCTGCTCGACCGGGGTTACCAAGGCCTAGCCGGGGTTGCGGGGAAAGCGCAATGAGGCGCGCGACCTCAGCCCTGAGCAGGAGAAGGAACAGGGGATTTTTATTCATTACGAGTCTGACACTCCCTATCGCCCGACCCTGGGATGGAGTAGTCATTTGATGATTTTTGCCTCGCAAAAAAATAACTCAAGGAAACTGTGTTTTAACCCTAATCCTCAAAAGCCGTCAACGTACTTGTAACTCTTCTGGTATCGCGGGTGGTTATAATAGGTGGCGCCGATTTCTTACTTATAAATGTTAAAATATTTTTACTCGACAGAAACGGGTACAGATTATGTTCACGAATTCGGTACCACAAAAAAAAGTATCGCAATCCTGCTGTTTTTGTGGTCATTGAGCATGTAGCTAACATACCTATAACTTTGAAACTTATTATTACAGACGCCATAGCTAATTTATTTTTTGTTATGACTGTCTATTAGGGATCCGGTTTTTAATCCATACGTAAAACCGACTACTGCACAACGGATGCCTTGGGTTGACAACCAGCTAGGTAGAGTAACCTACCGTGTAACGTCTTGCGGGTTAGATTCCGACAGAACAACGTTTTTGTGATCCACGCATCCACGTATTCACGATATAGGCGAAAATAGTTGTATGAGGCTTAATATTTTTTCGTTGTAAGTAGTTTTATTATTCAATTTTGTGCAAATATAAATACTTAGCTAGCTTAGCTTACTGAAATAGTTTCTAATACTCAAAAGAAAAATCTTACCGATGAGGGCTAGGTGTGAAAAAACCTTAATATGCCACATTCAATTACCATGATTAGCGAGTTAATTATTATGTTTTCGGTTTACTCACTTACCTAATAATTTGACGAGACACTCGACTAGTTTTAAGCCATGCAAGTAGCAGCGCGACAGTCGCCGCATCGCGTGTCGCGGAGTGCTGCTCATGAAAATGGGCCTCACGCATGCCTCTAGCATGGCTTGAAACTAGTCGAGAATCTCGTCAAATTATTACGTGAGTAAGCCGAAAACAAAACATAATTTAGAATGTCTCACGAAAGTTATTTCCCAGGTAGAAAAAAAGAGAAGAGAATTTATTATATGAAAATATAATTTACAAGTAATTTAATTTGTACATATATGTGTTATCTCATTAAATACTTGTTTGCAAGTTATTACAGCAATTAATATCGCTGTTTATTCAGTAAACATTAATTAGATGATAATGTATTGTGCAGATTGTATCCAGAGGTAGAAAAGAAAAGAAATAAATTATAATGAAGGAACTTTGTTTTAGTTGGAATAGTTATTTAATATTTTCTCTTTAATTTTTAAAACTTTCTCTTGAACTAAGGAAAATTGTGTTGTTAATGAAAATTAACTACCTAAGTACAAAATATTGGGTTTTTTTATTAATTCCTATAAACATTTCTGGGCAAACGTAGTGTAGGACGCCCTCCAGCTAGGTGCACACTGACGATATCCGCAGGGTGCCTGGCAGTGGTTGGATGGGAAGAGTTGAACTTCAAGCTCAGTGGCGTGCTGTTGGGGAGGTCTATGTCCAGCTGTGGACGAAATCAGGCTGATGATGATGATGATTATAAACATTTCTACATAATTTGGCACGTAGGTACACGCGTACTTACTTAATTCGTTTTTTTAAAGTACGGAAGTATGAAGTCTAGAAATTCATTTTCTCGACAGACTGCCTGCTAGAATGCTGAAACTACCTATATATAATTATATGTATGTTGAAATAGTACCTCCTTTTTACCGCTTTTTTAACATACCAGTTTTCCAGTTATCTACTAAACAAATAAATATAAATTAACATTTAGATGTAGTTACAGCTTGAAACGTGCAACAAAGTAAATTGTTTCTTATCTTCAAGATTTTCACGACGCGACGTTAGTACTTACATAATTAGATATTATGTAACTACATATTTCAAAACAATAGTAAAAACATCACCTAGGTAAGGTACACTATTAGGCGATCATGGAGGGAAAACAATATTTTTAATTTTGTAACCAATGAAAAAAAAATTAAGAGGTTTAAAATATCGTGTGACTTCAAGGTACCTTTCATATTCATAGGTACTTTAGAATGACGTAGATAGCTGCCACTCCTACAGTTGAGTTCGTTATAAATATGTGTATATATTTTTGTGGTTTTTTATTTATAATTATCTGATGGTAAGCCATCAGCGCCGCCCATTGACACCCGCAACAAAGGAGGAGTTAAGAGTGCGTTGCCAAACTTTTGGGGATTAAGGGATGAATGATAATTGAAGAATTTATTTTAACTGTTTTTGTTCATATTTCACACCTGGCCGTCATTACTATTATATTCGACCGAAGACATCCTAAAACTCTGACGCTATTTACAATTTCTATCAATACGATCAGTGATCTGTTTACCAGAAATTAAATCCTTATGGTATTTAAAAGTTGGTCCTTTTTTGCTTGCAGTTACAACTGTATCGAAACTTTGAAAGGATTGGAACAGTTCAGCCGGTTGGAGGAACTTATATTGGACAACAATAAGCTGGGAGACGCTGTCTCATTCCCATACTTATCCAATTTAAAGACTCTATCGCTCAACAATAATGAGGTAAGAACTCTTTTCTACAAAATGTATTACAATTTGAGAGGATTATTACATTAACTGCTTCGTTTGTCATAAAAAAATCTATTATCCTGGGATTTCGCTCATTATCATACTCTAGCTATTTCCGTGTGGTTTTATACGCTGCCTGCTCGAATCCCGAGTATACCCGAAGCATGATATTTTATACCCTATAGAATTCTTACATAAATGAACTAAGTACCCGATGGTTAATACAAAATAGACTTCTACATGTAAAAGTTTTAGTGATAGTTTTAGAAACTTGCATAGTAATTAAGCACTGATTGTTTCTAAAAGTAACCGATTGTCCTATTGTCTTTTCTTTAAGAAGTTTCTAGCTATCGAACTCAGAGATATTTAAAGGTTTTATAAACTACTACCTATTTTCGCGCGGTTTCCCGCTGCTCGGCTCCATTTAATCGTAGCGTGATCTTTTATAGCCTATAGCACTCGGGAACATTGTTTTTTATTACCCCCTACATACAAACTTACAAACATACAAACTTACAAATTTTACCTCTTTATAATATTAGTCTTTGATTATTAATTAATAATCAATTTCAGATTTCTTAGCGATTTTGCTAAGGACTGGGTTAAGTATTCGTAAAGTGCCAATGAATACGGTTTTTTGAGGGATGAAATTATCAATGGCGTTCTCCCTCCCTGAGTAAGGCGAAAGGGAATGTAAGACTCTAACTGACTAAAAACCACCTCGTTCCTTCTCCTGCTGCAGGCCAGGAACGCAGTACATAATTGCCCTTGCACTCGCAACCCTGGCTTAACATCAGCGGATGAGGAATAACCTCGTGCAGCAAAACATCCAATCCAATCCACGTCTGTGAGATCCTGATTGAGACAGCCCATTGGTTCCGCTGAAGCATGGCTGTCCCATACTTTAAAATGTGTGGGTTTTAGTCAGTAACAGTTTTACAAACCTCTCGCCCCACCCTTTGCGGGACAAGTCCCCAGTCATGGATTAAATGGCTTGTCAAGACAGAAAAGAAAACCAAAAAGAAGAAATAGCCAAAAAGCAAAACCACTTGTAGCCCCTCTAGTGTTCAGGTGCTGGTTGTTTAGAATCAAATTTCCAGAGTAGTAAGAACGCATTTTGCCTGCAGTGTATTATTGAAGTTAGTGCTTAAATCATACAATTATAATAGATACTCCAACTTTTAGTTTAGTTTTTGGTATATTTAGGTGTATTAATTATTATATACCTATAGATTGTGTTTGGGTTATTTTTCGTTTTTCCTGCTTTTATCTGAACCTACTTCCATAGTATTTATTTATTTGAATAGTACGGTACGAAACTATTTACTAAATACTGAATCGTTAGTTAATATATACAATATAGGCACATAAGTAAAAGAAAAAAAAACTAAATCATAATAATCACACAAATTGTATACAGCATTATTGATGTATTCACTTATCCCTAATTCTTGTTATAAGTACTCTTTATTTCTTTTCTGTTTCTTTCTTCTTTCATTGATTCATAATTCATGTGTAGTGACAGTAAAGAAGAATACTTTGTCTCTTCTCTCGGGCATCGTCAAAGCCAAATAAAGAACAGACAACCAGCAACTGAGCTTTCTAAAACTCTAAACGCTTTTTTTTAGCAACAACATCAATGACTTGCTTCCCCCGTTTGTTCTCCTGCTCCAGACCGAGGTCGCGGTACCTTATCACGCTTACCCCGGCTGAACATCGGCCATGTTGAAATTTAAACCCTTTAATATATCAAACCCCAAGCGCACGGCGGCGTTCAACTATTGTTCTTCTATTGTGTCTCGCATTACCACGGTTAAAAGGTTAAACTGCGATCTCCAACCCGAAGGTCTAGTACAGTACTTAGCACATTCCTATTAATTGCCTGATGAACAATTACAGATAACGGATCTAGAAGAGTTAGTAAACAAGATAAGCAAGCACTTCCCAGCGCTGACATACTTAAGTCTACTGAGCAACAAGGCGTGTCCCAACCAACTGTCCGACGTCGACAAAGATGACTCAGACTACCAAAGATACAGGTAAGTTATGCGCAACACAATCAATACCAAGTGTGGGCGAGCCATGCTTCGGCATTAATGGATCGACTCCGGAGTGATCAGAAAGAAGCCTTACAGAAAACCGCGGGAAACAACCCCAGCGTTGTGTTTCGCCGTGTGAGTGAGGTTACTGGAGGACTTTCTTTCTTCTTTCTTTCCTTATCCCTCCCCCTCTCCCCATCGGACGACCGGTCCCTTGGGGATAAGGGTTTCGGATATTTAAGGCCAATCCGTGGTTCCGATTGCTTAACATCAAGTAATCGGCCTGCTTGTTTGCCGACCATCCTATAAATAAAAAGAAAACCAAACCGGTTTTTTTGTGTGTAGTAAAAATATTAATTGACATCTCCCGCTCTGGGTGGGGTGTGAAGTTTCCGCAGTTTAAGCCTTAAATAAAATACGACTCTTAAGGACCTATACAAAAATTTGCTACGAGTATATATGAGCCCCTTTTAAATATTTATTTTCTAAAAGTTACCAGTACCGTAATGATTATGAGCCCATAGCTAAGCCTCATCCATTTACAATTTTAGTTTTCAAAGTAACTTTCTGAAATAAATCTATAAGTATTACCTACTTTTCGACCTGGATATATATTTATTTATATTATATTGCCTTGCTTAGTAATAGCGGTTTACTTAGATAGCTAATAGTAGGTAAGTTATAGGTAAATAAACATAATCAATTTGTGACATAATAAATATTATAAAATAACCAGATATTTATAATACCAAAATGTATTCTAACCATATCCTAAATCTTACGATACACATAATCTTAATAAATTATTAATCAATACTATGAATCACTCTACCGATTTATGTGATTCTATTGTGAACATACATTCCTATAAAATTAGGCTTTTTTGGCCTCGGTATAAGAGGCCGACTAGAAAATACATAGACAAGAAGATAGATAGTTCCTTGATTAAGTAAAGGTCACAATCATCTCCCCAAATTGTAGACCTTGTCACAAAAATCCTCAAAAATCGTACTTATAAAAATCGAAGCTAATGAATTCGCTAAGAAACCAAAATAAATAATTTATTCGAACACATAAATCTATGTTCGACATATAAGTTGTAATAGTAAGCATAGATAGGTTTTTTTTAAGTTTCTTCTAAGTTATTTAATTATTATGTTGACATAATAGCTTAGCAATAAATAAAGCAGACTACACGAGCGGACTATTAAATTCGTATAAGTACATAAATAATGTACAACAGCAAAATAAATATATATACGTTACTTGGAGTATACTTGTTATTTTAAGAGTCTAATGCCTGTTGGAAGTTGTAATTCTTTCATTAGACTACGTTATCGACTGAAATGTTCAAACAAAAATGTCGCACAAGATCTCGATATTCGCAAGTCGTATTTTCCCTACCATACCATGTTCCGAAGACACATTGCCCAACAAATTAACTTTGTGAGATAATGTCGCTCGATACTTCCCTTGTTCACATTGAATAGTCGTTAAAGACTATAACTTCTTTGTTGCTACAGAGTCACCTCAGTCAGTTATCCCCGTACCACACAAAATGACGTCATATAAAAAAGTGTTACAATAAGACTTTTGAATTTTTATCCTTATTTATTAATTATGTTAACAAACTCTTTTTGTTGCAGATATTACGTAATATACATGTTACCGAACTTGCGGTTTCTGGATTCCCGTCGGGTATCGTCAGCGGAGAGGAAAGAAGCAGCGACGCGGGGCGAGTTTATGCGTGTGCGAAGACCGCCGTCACATGAATTTAGCACTCCGTTCACACCTTCATTGCAACCGAAACCTGCAATGCGACCCTTGCCTTTGGACTTAGGTTCGTTAGGCAAACATAGAGGTGAGATATTTTTAATACTGCCTACATTTATTATTTTATAAATATTATGAAGGTGCAGAGTTTGTTTGAACGCGATTATCTTCAAAACCACTTGTCCGATTTGGTAAATTATTTTTGTAGGATAGTCCGTTTATTGAGGAAAGCTTTAGACCATAAAATAGCCTACTACGATATATCGATGCCTGGTGGTGGGCTAGCTTGTAAATATATAATAAACATTATCCAACACTGCATACATTATAAATAAATAAAAAACAAAAATGTGTGTAACACAATTAAAATCGTTATCATACAAGGAATATGAATCGAACCTGTTTGTAATAAGTACTTATTTTGCACTGCTCATTACCCAGTCACAGCATTGCATTAACTTTATAATCGTTATTTTTATCACAAAATAATGTTGGAACCAGATTTAAATTCATTAATTTAGAAACAGGTTCATTTGTTGATTAATTATTTATTATACTGTACTTATTATTATTTGTAAATGTTAGTGTAAATACTGAATTAACATTTATTATGTAAGACTAAACTTTAAAAAAACTGGCCGTTATACAAATGAGGTCAAATAAATTTGTCTCCATATTCAAACTATGTATTATTTATGTAAATCAGACATTTCAAAATTTGCTTATCTGATAACATTATTATTATATTATTTGCAGGGGCCTACGGTAAATGCAGTTACAAGTACACAGGCAAGCATTCGGAGGGTAACAGGTTCATATTGAATAGTGATTTATAACAACATTCCAAGACGCCATAATTATTGTTAATTCAAAAGTGCTAATAGAATAGTTAAGGTTATTAGATAAGTAATGATGCCAAATTCCGACCATATTGATAAGGAAATTTAAAACCGTTTTGCAGAATCAACAAGTTAAAAGTTGTTTTAATTAAATGCTGTAGTCAGCCAGTACTTAACCTGATATTCCAAGTCACGAGTTCACATAGAAATAGCTGAGCCGATGATATATTCAAAAGACCGATTAAAATTACTTTTGTTAATTAAAAGTACTGAAGACTGGTTTAGTCTGCTTGGAGAACTTATTTATGAGTCATCAAGTGATACCCCACCCAAGGCGAGAGGGGTTGTCAGGCTCTTACTGACTGAAAACGACCTGATTCCTTCTATCCCGCTATTCTGCTCCAGGTCGAGGCCGCGGAGCGCTATTGCGCTTGTCTCGCAGCCCTGGCTGAACATTAGGTCTAGGTAGCCCTGATAGGCCCCATTCAAGAAGAGTACCTTCGATTGCACTCAATGACTTAATACAAATCTCTGTGCGCAAATCTCATGCATCCATGTCATCACATGTTTCTACGGCCGATATGTTAAGGAAGGTCATACTCAAATGACATTTATACCTAAACTTTTAATATTACTCCTAAAAAGGCACCGATTTAGTTCCGAAAACAATAGGATAGTTTTCAAGTAGGTACTCAAATTCAATACTTTTTTTGAAAAGGGTCAAAAACTATAATTTCCATGAATTTTGTATGAAATTTTTATTTGTGCAGTCATAACCTTTTTTTATCAAATAACATACTTATTTCTCTTTAAATTAGCTAGAAATACGAAAACTATGTACAACATCAAGTCTGTGTATGAGAGTGTGTTTTAAATATGTTTTTATGTTGTTAAAATAATTTTCTTCTTACCTGAAAAAACTATTCAATTGCTAAGGACTGGTATGAATAATAAACAATATGTGCATCTCTGCTTTTCACTTTTTGGGGAAATGAAATGGCGTGATATTATGTTTAAATAATTATGTATCATCAACTTTGGTGCTACCGTTGTAATATTATTATAATTATCACAAATGTCACATTATGCCAAAAATTATGAAGGTTGATATTTTATCAGAATTCAATCAAAATGGCGACGTCATTAAAGTATAAATTAATGTCAATATTCATTGTGAATGACATTTCAAGAATAAATTCAGTTTAGATTGCGAGTTAATTTTATTTTGTTAAAATAAAAAAGTCGAATAGGATTTACATCCTAATCGACTTTTTAGGCTTTTTGTCTATTAATTCTTGTGCAATTTTGAGTACACAAAAACGAAAAGATATTCGCATAATCAACAGCTTGTTACAGCAAATTGATGGTTTAGACAATAAGAATCAAAATCGCTTACCGAAGTTAACATTCCGATTTCAAAATGCCAATATTTTTTCTAATGTGAACCATTTTATTAATGGTTACAAGACATTACATTACTATTAAGATCCTAGCCTAGATATTACGCCACTCCTAAAACCTTGTTTGTTTATGAGAATCAACATTTCACGTAGCCTAAATTCGCCCCTCTTACTTCTAAGCGACAAGGGTGACTTTCCCATAAACACTACAGATACTCACAACCTCCCGTGAACTAGACGGAAAATCGCGACTTTAAATTTCATCTCAGAAGGAAAATCTACATTACACTGTGGAATAAGAGTGATTTTGCTATGACATTAATGTTATATGATTTGTTTTTTATAAAATCAAAGGCAGTGTTCTATTTTTATTGTTTGTAAATAAGTGTTTATGATTTCTTTTGTAAATTTTGTTTGAGTAAAGATTGTGTTATAAATGTATATTGTTTTATTTTTTTTGTAATCTAACAGGTGTCCAATTTTATTAGTCATGACGTCGATCGAAATTATTCGAATATTAAATCGACACTAACATCTTGCTATTTTGCTGAATAATTTATAATGATAATAATTCAGATGCAATTAATAAAAAATAGTGCTACCTAGTTACTATTTATACTGGAGACTTAAATAGAGGTTATGAAAAAAAATACGAATATCAGGTTTATCCATAAACATAGTTTATTATTTAATTTTATTAATCATATGAATATTTTGAATTGTTTAAATTGTAGGAATGCATCGTCGGAAGTACAGCATACATAAAAAATAAATTAAGTACTAAAAATTACATCAAAAATTGTCCTATATCATACAATGTTACCTAGGGTTTATTATATAAACCTTTATAATATTATTGTTATGTACTTTTTCACCAAGCTTTTATATACAACATTTTAAAAAATAAGTAGTTATAGTGTATTTATATTTATTTACATGATTAATTAAATGCAATGGCAATTGGCTCAATGTACTGCAGCTCATAAACTAAATAGCTTGGTGAGTTATGTGAAGCAGCAAGGAGTTTGTATTACGCAAGCTGCTTATGTGAAATTGATTACTCCACATTTGGACATTGTACGTAAAAAGTCAACTTTCGCTTTGCAAAATATAGACAGTCTTCGAACTTATCTGAATTTCAAATGTTATCTACATATCTGTCACCGCTATTCGCTATTCCATTTACCGTTCGTATGAACTTTTAAATTTTCACACATAGCGGTAACGAACGCTAAAACATTTTGTTCACGATATCTCAGACATTTTTGATTTCAAACTCAATCACAAGCTGGATAAATTTTCAAATAAAAATACAGAATTGTTTTAATGATACGAATATCAAAATCATGGAATGCGTTACTTAAATTAGGTTTAAAAATGCAATTTACATAAAATGCAACAGTATTCATTGTGTCGTTCTGCGTAAAGTCGATATTGGTACGTCACGTCAATGCAAATTCGAAGGACACTTCAAATTAAAAAACGTCGTTTATCCGACTTCCTGATTATTACTTACTAATTAATTAAAATATGCAGCTTATTTAGAAATCCGTTTAAGAAAAGCTCTACTAGTTTCAAGTCAAACAGGGACTCATAATTATGACGTGACTTGAAACTACAAAAACTTTTCTCGGGCAATTCAGATAAACAATCCGTATATTCCAATTAATTAAGTATGTGACATATTAGATAGTTATTATACAAAAATTACGTAATTATCAATATAAATCTGCAGTCTATAAAAATCTCAGGTACAACCCCGTACAAAATAATATAATACGAATCTCACGTTTCATATACAAAGCTGCGTGTGAACGACTATAATCATTCTAGCTACTTATTAAAATACGTTGCATTCATTTCAAAGTTACAATAACAACATCGCCGTGTTCTTGAACTAATAATAGACGAAGATATCAAGATTGCATGATTTTAAGATAAACATCAAATAAATACATAATTATAAAAGTGAATCGATTCCTTTCTTCCGCAATGAATAATCTCGTAAGGTCAGAAAATCAATTTCCATCTAATAATAAAATCTACAAAATGTTTGTGTGACTCAATTTGTGCATGATTAAAGCCATTGGAACGTTTTAAAAAGTTAGTTAGGCATCGTCTATCACATAGTAGCCTAAAACTACAATCTCTAGAATAATACTAAGCAATTAATTAATAATTAACAATGTATGTTAATCAGTTGCCGTTTTTCAATTGTTATTAGTTAAATCTATTTCGAATAATTTAATTGCCATGACGAGGTATACAATGGATGGCCAAACACAACCTGGGTTTAATTTTTCCACAAATAATAATTACATATTACGAAATAATTATCACTCGTTTAATATAACAACTTTCCAAAATTGATATATAATAATATCTGAAATAAATATGTATCGAGATATGTATTACAAAAAGGTACACTCGGTGTCTAAATAAACGTAAACAATCTCTGTACAAGTACAAAAATATATTAAGTGTTACATAAAAATATTGATCTCGATAAATATAATATGCATACCTACATATTCCATCGTGTTAATGCCGTTCCGAATGAAGCTTTGGTTAATACAGTGCGTCCAATAACAGATCGAATCAATATTACGTACATACTATAACTATACAAGTCAAAATGGAATGTGTTAATCACAAATATTAGGCATATACAATCTACTCGGATCACATGTTACTAGTTTATTTTTGTATTACACATAAAAATACGATTTCTGTAAATACGTTAAGATGTGCATCGATCAAATAAAATGGCACAAAATTTTGTCAATGTACACGACGCTACTACAAACTAACGCTCACCTGACGATAGCACTTATTACAAATAGAAACTATAAGTAAATGACGCATTTTCACTTATTTTTCCATAACATTAAACAAATGCACTGTGAAAACAACAGTATGTAGGCAATAATATAATAGAGCCTTCTTTAGCATTGATAAAGAATGTACAAATATTGAACAATTTAGGTACAAGTAGTTACCCTCCTCTAGTCTTGACATACACGTTATAAAATTACTCTTATACGCTACTGTTATTAGTGACCATTACAAAAACATAGCAAAAACAACAATTCTGACTAAATAAGTACCTCGATCACTAAGCGAGCTCCGTAGCATCGCTCAAGTCAATGAAAAAATCATTACAATTTAATACACCATTTTGAATATCGTAAAAGCTGAAAAGTATTGACTTACAAAAATTTTATAATTCAAAGACAAAGCGGCCGAGTGAACACGCTGCCATTTACTCTGCAGGCCGGCCGCAAAACTCCACGTATCAGCTGAGAAGTCTTTCACGACTGGGACTAAACACTGCGCAATACCTATCACCACGAACGCGAATTCGGAATAATCACTGAACTTTGGAACTGGCATACCAGGCCTAATTTTATAGTCTATAATACTAGTAGATTTCATAATCACGTTTGATAGATTGTGTGGTACCTATCTAGAGTGAGTATTCCCGAAGTCGCGGGGGCGCCGAGAGCCGGGAGCCTAGAAGTGTAGGTAGGAGGAGTAGTCCCTGCGTGAATGCATGGGTCGCGGCGGCGGCAGTCGCTAGACGTGCGTGACGCAGTGCGCCAGCTTCTCCAGCTCGCTCTGCAGCGCCTGCCGCTTCTCGCTCTCCTGGCTCAGCTTGGCCTTCAAGTCCTCGATGGCCGTGTTGAAAACTGTGTTTTGTACTTCTATGAGCTTCTCCAGATTTGTTATCTGCAAACGAAATCGCGGAATTAAGCAACATTTTCCGTAACCTAATATTGGAGAATGAAAATGAAGTCTTATTAATCAGATTCAACACCTAAATTTTTTTTAAGTTTGGTGACTAGTTACTTCTAATCACCAGCACAATAAAAGCAATGCAAATCAATAAATCACAACATACCCTATTATTGAGCTGCGCAATCAACGCGTCGTTGGATTCAACTTTTTCCGACTTAACAGAATGCATTCGCCTTTCCAGCGTTCCTGTGCTGGGTTTACTATCACCAGTTGCTGTAGCAGAAGGTGCTTTTTCTAGAGACTTTTCTATTCTCTCGATGGTACTCGTTTTGCTGGTCTGTCGAGTGAGTGCGGTGACTTCGGTCGGTTTGTCGGAGACGGGGGATTTCTCGGTTTTAGTGGATGACTTGTCCGTGATGATGTGAGCTGATAGTGTGGCTACGGCGGAGCGTATAGGCGCAGGATTAGCCGGCGGGGCGGGGGTGGGGGCCGGGGTCGAGGTCGGCGGGGACGCGGCGCGGGGAACTGCTGGGGGCGCCGTCCCAGGCACTGGGGGAGGGGCTGTCGTAGGCGGCGGAGGTGCTGGGGGCTTCTTAATATCGTCCAGCATTGACATTATTGTTCGACCTGTAAATATTACAACATTCATTATTATAGGTACTTATGAACGTCAAAAAGTATACATGAATTTGAGTAGACCAATTTACAAAATTTCAAAGGGTTGAACATGACGGAGTTAACTCAAGAACAATTGCCGTAACTGTGTACTAGTGTCCACTAAGAGGGACACTTTGAGAAAGTTACAAATAAATAACCAGATCTGTGGCATACCTGCAGCAGTGGGTGACTGTATCGGTTTGACGGCGTGTGACTCAGTGTCGCGGGGAGCCGGCGTCACGTCCTTCTTAGAATCCAACGAATGACGGACTTTCGTCTGCAATGAAGAAAAATATTACGACACATTCTTAGTATATAGTTATACAATTTAAGAAAATAATATTGTAGTTTGATGTTGCGTTACCTCCTCAAAACTCTCCATGACTGACATTCGACTGCTGATCGACGACGTGCTTTTAGACATTTCCATAGAATGAGTTGATCTCTTTTCTTCTAGACCACAGTCCAGGATTCTAAAAGGTATAAAATTAAGTTTAGTTTTACCATCAATTTATTTGCGCAATAAGATAAATTAGTACAGAACTGGTGAAGCTTGATAACGTCGCAACACGAATGATCAGGCATAGAGCAAGAGATGTAACGGGTGGTTTTTAGTCAATGAGAGACTGACACTTCCTCCCGCTTTACCCTAGACGAAAAAAGTCAGACAAGGATATTTCGTCCTCAAAAAAAAGGTCAAGCCAGTTTACAAAGGGACGCTTATAACTTTTGGGTAGCAAACAGCATTGCAGTCTCATAGAGAAGTTCATAAGCGAACTAATTTACAACAGAATGCTTTGGATCGATCTAAGTTTGTGAAAAAAATTCGATAAGAAGGACTAACGTCAAAATCTTTTGAATTATCAATACGCGAAAACTTTAAAAGAGCGACTCAAAAACAACTTTATTTTCTACGCACCTAGATACACTTTGCTAACAGCAACGTCGCGTCGCGTCTCGATATGAATTGACCCTTAATCCAAAGATTTTGGATTGAGATCGGTTTTTAATTTCAGTAAGTAATAAACAAGCAATCAGCACTTTTATATGCATACGAACCAATGAAACAATGAAATGAATTTATTTTTGCAAACAGACCATAAAACGGCACTTTTACACGTCAAATTATATGGGAAAAACTGAAGCCGGCATTTCCTATTTGACTACTCTTAGGAGTACTATGTCATGAACCTGCTCTAAAATACATTATCGTACTTCCTAACTCTTGTCTAATCAGGTTAATAAACTTCATAAAGGCCTACCTGTCTGTACTTCCACTAGCGGCTTTACTGGCGCCAAGTTCAGGTCCCGAGAGCCTCGACTTGCCGTCGGCTATGAAGCTGGTCTTCTTCGCCTGGTTCAGCTTGAGTTCTTCCATCCACGGCGCCTTATGTTTCTCCCACTCTCGAGTACGAGGTTTGATCTCCTCCGCAGACTCTGGTTGCTCGGTCCGCGCCGCTTTCTCTGGTGGCTTGTCTACTGGAACTGAATTGTTATTTTTTTATTAATCTATTTTGTAATTATGCATACTAGGAGACGGATTGGGGAAACAATTGGCATCGGCACCGGTCCGTTTACAGCATAAACTACGAAGTACAAGTGTGTTTCCGGACGAAATTTAAGGATGGTTTGTTTGACGCCGTTTTTCTGTATCACTCATGTAAAGCCGGTCCATCACGAGTTTCCATTTATTATTAGAGTCCAATTCAAAGGAGTAATGTGCATGAAGGAATTTAATTAGATTTTTTGTATATGAGGCAGTGTGACCAATGTTTTGGGACTCATAGTTGCTGGAGCTGATAAGGACTGGCTGAGGACTGACACTTTTAAAATTTTAGCTTTATTTGGCATTCAAAAGTGCCTGTAAAGGCCTTTAGCTTTGACGAAAGGATCATCCAAATAGTATTTTTTTGTAGTTTTAAGTCAAATTAGATATTGTGTCTCGTAATCTTCCGTAATATTGAGTGTGTATTGTATTTACAAGGCCAAGGGCGATAGACAATCAAATGTAAAGACTATTGAAGCGAAGTGAGGCGTAACGTTGTTTAAGCATAATGTTTGATTGCATAAACAATGCACACGTGAACAGACATTGTAATCTATTTTGAGGATGAGGATTATGACTAGACTTTGCGAGTAAAAAAATATTCTATATATGCAACCTATCTATCTACTTATTGTTGCTATTATCTTATTAATATCTATAAAGTTTGCCTGCTACGTTTGCCGAATTGACTTCCACTTGTAATATTTAATTTTATTTTAATGTTTATTAAAATTCTACGAATTTCGATATTGTTCCCGGTGGCAGAGTAATCACTAAGACGATATAAGAAGATATGAATTGAATGGAACTTCGGAGTAAAAAAACGCCGCGTAAAATAGTAACGTAAGGCATTTTTTGTGTGGTTATAAACAAATTATACTCTACTTACTACCTGCGCCCAGGCTTAATAGCCATACAATAAACACAGTTTCATGAAAATCCGTCCACTAGTTCCGGAGTTTAGAATTGTAAAACGTGCAAACAAACAAAAAATGTTTGTCATATTCTATATTATTTTCGTTTTATTGAGAAATAATATACGGACATGCTTTTTCACTAATACAATGTATGTATATGAGATTGGTATAAATAATTATAGGTCACTAGCACTAAATTATTATCTAAAATCTAGGCCAAGCAGAATTCCATTCATGAGAGATAAACGAACACGCGCTAATCATGCTGGGTGGCAAATATAAGTCAAAGGTTAATTTATCATAGTGTTAGTAAGTGTTGGATTAATTTATTGCGGAATTCAAAGCTATATATGTTTGTTAAATAAATAGCAATCTATGAATACAATTATCAGCTATGAAGGATTGGGCCTCGGTAACCTCACTCACACGGCGAAACACAACGCTGTATTACTCCGATTAAGTGGACCCATCCATGCCGAAGCATGGCTCTCCCACACTTTAATTAATTATGTATCCATTCATAAATTAATTAATATTTTATCGACTTTTATTCTTAACTATTGTCGGAAATATACCTAATTTTGTTATTTTACTAATGCATAGACTTTACTTAGTGATTATACTGTTGAAAAAAGCTTACCTTCGTGTCCATTGCTTAATCCTAACTGTAATGGCGTATCTTCACGGAGTGCTTGACTAGGCGGCCGACGTCGAGGTGCTTTTACTCTGAAATTATATATTAATTACATCAATAAGCATTCAAAATGTACTATAAAGCAATTTAAGTCATCTATCTAATCTGCACTAACTTATTTTTATCGATGAAAATAAATAAAAAAACTGATTATTTTACCTACTATATGCTGCAAGAGTGACGCCTCTTTTAATACATATCTATTTATTTTTTAACGGGGTTGACATGTGTTAGAAAAAAAGACCCTAAAACTATTGATTAAAAAAAAATTTTACGTAACTGCGTTAACGATTTTATGTACTTAAGCGAAATAGTTTTAAGATTTTAGAACCTGTTTTCACGAAAAGACATTCGCACATCACATAATCAGCCTATAATTGTTTACTGGTTGAGCATACTCTCTTGAGCATGAAGAAGGAAGGTTCAGCTTTGCTTTGCTTTGCACTGTATTATCTTTTACGGTATATCAGTGATGTCTAAATAAAGTTAAAAAGTATAAGTAAGTTGGTAAAAAACAGGCACTCTTCTACTACACTAGCCTTCTTTGTTTACGATTTTTTTTTTCTTTCCTAAATAGTCTATACAAAATCAGTAAAGCTTACCTTCCAGCTCGAGGGTCGTTGAGTAGGGAGTTCCGTTCGATGTGGTCGAAAGTGTTCGTGTTATTGTTAGTTGTATTAACAACAGTCTTGCTTGGGGCTGCGCCGTCTGGTCGGTCCCATTCACCGCCGCTACTACTGCCACTACTCGACACTGTTGTTGATGAGGATTTCTCTCTGTAAACACATCATTATTATTATTAAGAATCTATCGGTTTTTTTATCATTAAATGGCTTCTCCCGCTTTCAATTGAGGGGAAGGAACTCAGACCCTTTAACTAAAAACTACCGCGTTCTTTCTTCTGAGCTGGGACGGGACCGCGTTACATTATTGGGCTGAACATCTGATCTATTGGACATCATCTAAAAGCTAAACTATCAACCTCAATTACAAAATAATAGTTTCTGAAGTAATCTGCATGCTTGGAAACTTAACTTATTAATAATATTTGATTAGTAAAGAGCTGGACTTTAATTAATAAAACTGATATTTTGTTAGTAGATTTACAAATGTTCATAATAGATTTCAATTTTCGAAAAGATAAAAATAAGCTAGATATATGTAAACATTTCCAAGTAATGTGCTTATTTTGTAATACTAAATAAAACTCTACATACATTAACTCTAGATTAAATAATGTTAATTCGGCACAATAAAAGCACATATACTAAGGAAAAAACCCTCACAATGTGGTTACGCTTAACAAGTGTTTTTATTACACAGTACATTATAATTTGAAGTACTTACTTTTCAGTCGAAGATAACATTTTATTCTTAAGTCCACTGAACAGACTGCCCACACCTGATGTGGGCGTGGGACTTTTCTTTAATGGCACTGGAGGTTTTTTCACCTGAAATATAAAAAACATATTTTAGTATTATCTAGGTTTTATCGGATTCTTTTAAAGCTCCATTTCATGCTTTATTTAAACATTAATACATACTTAATAGTGTATAGCTACACTCTGACGTAATAAGAAAACAATTTAAGTATCCTACAATGTAACCTTTCAACCGTGGTTATATGAGACAATAGAAGAACAATAGGTGCGCGAACGCCGGCGTTCGCTTGGGTTTTGATGAATTAAAGAAGCACACGACTCTACATTTGGAATGATAACGAAAAACAAACAATAGCATAATACCATTGAACCCCTTTACTACAATTTGACGGATGTTGTGAAAGACGATACGATTGTTTTTTTTTTATTATTATTGTGTAATTAAGCCTTTGATTGCCAATAAAATACTGTTCAAGGCGTCTCTTCCGTTACCGTGGGTCCCGGTGATTTACATGTCGGTTAACGTATTAAGGATGGGATTTACATCGATAACTTATGCTGTCAATTTGTTACTATTCATGGAAGTCCGGAGACAGTTTGTACAGTGAGAAATTTAAAAAAAAACTTGAAAAAGTGTATAATCGACATCCTCTAGTATTTTAAATTGAACACATGTGAAGTAAAGTGATAACAATTAAACAAGAAGCAATATTCACCTGTTCTAGCGTTCCCTCGCTGACCGTCTCGCTGTGTATAACCTTTTCCGACTCAGTTTTATTCGTGTGCGTGATTGTACTCTGCGTACTCGACTCCTTACTTATCGAATTCTCTTTGTGCGAACTGAAACATCATAAATAAATCTATATTAATGTATTTTAAATATTTTATGGTCGCAAGAAAATCAGGGAAGATAGAAATGAATGAAATATATGTATCTATCTCGTCTTCACTCATTTAAATTTCAGTCTGTTTGCTTGCTTCTTGCACTGACCATTGGCTCATCTCTGCATCACCCAAGGCTCGACTGGTAGAAAATGCCTAAGGCATTAAGTCCGCCTATGTACCCATTGTGCATGAAGTTTAAATAAATAAATAAATGAAATAAAATTTTATACTTTAATGGTATAGGTAGGCAAATGAGCAAACAGATCACTTGCAACAACGGGGTATCAGCGCTACTTATGGACAATTTCATTTAGGAACAGGAAAGGAGACTATGAAGTAGTGAACATATTCTACAAGTTCCCTCATACATCACTAGTATGTAATGAGTCTCAGTATGTAATGAAGGAAGGAATATTATTAGGATACCCAGCGTATGACTCCAAGCTTATAAACGAGCATAATCACAAAACTATATTAAACTGCTACTTGAAGAGCTTCCTCTCTCCTGTTTGCCTTATTTTGCTGTGCCCTACAGGGTCCATAATTGATCTCACACAAATTGTTACCACCTTTAAATGTACTTATGGAAAAGCAATAAAGATATTGAGTATTGAGTATTAAGATATATATAATACGAATGATGAAGAATGGATGAATATTTTTTATTACTTTCACGTTAAAAATGGTGAATGATTTTTTATATAAATTCGCATAGATATTAATTTGTCTGTAATTGTAATATCTGTAGGCTACTTTTCATCCGTTGAAAGCGGGTAAAGCCGCTAGCAGAAAATCTCGTTTAATAATATATGTACTAAGAAATTCATCTACAGGATGATTCCTTTTGCCTTAATACACGAGTATGCTATAATTCCGGTGCGCACAGGTATGTGTGGTAACAAAAGTGTGTTTTACAAGTATTGAGAAAAATAAAAAAACAAACCTGATGCAAGGCAATAAGAAACATCATAATAAAAACACAGAAATAAACATGTTTTACGATGAATTCCTTAAATGTATTAACGAACCCGTTAGTCTTCGGCCCACATTAAATGATTTTATGGAAAACGGAATTGTTCGAGTTTATTTTTTACTTTATTATCATTTAAATAAAACATGTTTTTGTTATACCTAATAATTTCGGAGATCACTGTGTTTTTGGTTCGCGACGGATGTTCCTACTTATCGAATACGGACGGCGGCGAAAATACAAATTCCCATTAGTTCATCAGTTAGATAAGTAAAGTATTTTCTGGATTTAAGTATCACATCATGCATATAACTTTGGTATTAAATATTTTGTTATACTTATTATTAAAATATACATTATATATTTTATGTATACAAAGGAGATCCGCAACAACAAATTAACATTCCCATCGAAAATAAATAAGAACATTATAATCTGTTACTAACTGCCCTTTGTGTACTTTAAATATGGTCCGTATACTACCAAAATCTTACTAGGTGACTGGCTGGCAATAATTCTAATCTCACATAGATAAGAACTCTTTGCATCGGTTTAGTGTCGTACCTTATTTTATATGATGTATGTTCCTTGACAGAGGCCGTTTTTTCACTGTGTTTCATAGACAATATAGGGTAGATAGAGTTCGTAGTCTTTGCCGGCGGTCGCTCTGGTTTCTTCTCTTCTAACTCTGTTGATACTGTAAATAAATTAAAAAGCAAAATTACTATCTAGCCTTCAGAAATATGTTACAGTTTTTTAATATGACGATCCGATAGCCTGTACTTAAAACTAAAAAGTTCACACTAAAATATTAGTAATAGTACTGTATCCCATAAAAATCTTTGAAACAAATATTTTTGCACTTACACGATTTGGAAAACAAGTTTTGTTCACTCGAAAACATCTTTCTGATGTGCAACATAATTATTTTAGTACGCAATCGATTTACAGTACTACATTAATTAATATAAAACTAATAAATTCACTTCGTAACACAAAGAAACGAACTTATCAAAAATTCGCACAGACACACACAGTTATCAAGTTCCACATACGAATAAAACTTTGAACAAATACGACTCACTTTCAAAAATCATTTTAGAATCTGAATTCTATATTCAAATTTGAATGCGAAATCGTCAGGGAATGAAGTCAACGCAACATTGGTGTTCCACCAACGCGGATTGTGAGGCAACTAGTTATAAAAAGACAAGAGTCGAGACAGCGTGCAAGTTACGCAAAATCACGACTCGGCTCGTAGCGCAACCTTCATGAGAAATGTCAATAGCAGAACATCGAATACTAGAGTGGGCGGACTGTTTACCAACAGGCGGTGCGTGAGCTCACGACTCGCAGCGTACTACTTATCTACTATTATTGTTTATGCGACAGTCGCCGAGTTATGGTCATCAGCTAATAACTAAGAACGTCCAAAATGTTTACAACTTCAAGGTTGGGCATACATTCTACATGTGCTAAGTACCTTTGTTGTTAAAATATGAATGTTTGAGAATAAAAACAGTCTTATAAATTTGACCTATAATGAACATGGTGAACGATACGTAGATACATAATAAAATAATGAGTGATAACTAAATTGAATTCTATTTATTTAATAAATCAATCAACATTAATGAAAATTACACAAATCAAGCAGGTCAACCGGCAATTCCAAAGGTTATTTCTATTAGCCATGAACTAGAATAAAAATTTTGTAAGTAAAATAGAACAGTAGTGTTTTTTCATCTGCATATATCAGTTGTTGCACGTTAGTTTCGATACGCATAAATTATTATTATTGCGTGTCTTGCAACCGATTGCATTCGGCCAGTGTTACACAGTTTACGTCATCTAGGATTATACTAACATACTTATACAATGTTACTTGCTACCAGACTAACCTTGGAATATATTACAGAGTACATACATAATTGACAAAATCTTTCAATTATTGGTACCAGTTTTATTTAGAAAGCCAATTTAGATCACGCAGAAGTCAAATCGGGCCGAGTAGGAGACGGGTTTGAAGCTAGCAAGTTCTAATGTGTCTTTTTTCGAGTTATATGTGCTTTATATCCGATTCATAAGTTTATTTATTTAGCCATGAATGGCCTATGGTAAAAGAAAACATCGTGAAGAAGCCTTAAACAAGCGGGATGATTAATGCCCCAACCATCTCCGTATGAGAAAGCTGATGAATATGATAAGTGAGTTTAAGTCTAGAATTATTTCTATAAAACACTAGCTACTCTCGCGCGGTTTCACCCGCTGCTCGGCTCTATTTGATCGTAGCGTAATGTTTTATAACCTTTAGCACTCAGGAACATTGTTGCCATCTATCAGTGAAAGAATTTTGGAAATCCGACCAGCGGTTCCAAAGATTACCCCCTACATACAAACTTACAAATTTTACCTCTTTAAAATATTAGTATCGATATATTTATCTAGGTTATAATACAACTACTACTATAAACTCACTTGTTCCCTGATATTTATTCTATAGTATTTTACTGCGTTAAAATAGAGCAACACGTCACTTGAATTTCCCCTGAGAATCTCCCCTCTCGAGTCTCGCAGAGTGCAATGTTTATATTCTTCACATCTTTTATAAAGTATAAACACAGAAATCTACAATATAATTGCGCTTTTTAGTTATGTCTACGTGTTGATATTTAAATGATAATGTTCCTTATGAATCTGACATCACTTATTGAATGATCACGATTGCAAAACGAGTTTGAGGTTTAACATCATCACTTAAGTCATTTAGAACATGGAGTAACAACACACTATAAATAAATTCAAGGTGTGTTGTGGTCAACTCGGTTATTTGTCACTTTATCGATTAATAAACTAAAGAATATTGTAGTTACTACTGCTTTTGTTTATACTTTCAAAGGTTGCGACAGTTGTCGCATGTTTTATTTGCCTATTAGTTATTTATTTATTCTTTTTTTATACGTATATATCTAAACGTATGCATAGGTGGCATTTATATTTGGTATTTTAAAGGAGGGCTTTGGAACTTTTGGTTACAAAGGTATCACAAGCGCATTAAGTATTAATGCGAGGGGAAAATCATCAAATAACTTCTCCTGCCCAGGTTGGGCAGGAGAAGTTATTTGTTTCTCCCCCCCCCCTCACCGCCTTTCCTTCTCCTGCTCTGGGCCGAGGTCGCAGTGACTCATTGCGTTTATCCTGCAACCTCGGCTACGCGCGTTATATTTAGGGTTTTATTATTTGGAAATATACATACATAAAGGTTGGATTAAAAATAATGTAATGCCTATACTCCACAAAGAAATATATTAAAATACATTATGATTAGGTATCAATAATATGAACTTCGTTGTTAATGATCAAATTTTGAGGAGCAGATTTTGAAGTACACATCATTTGTATCTGATTCAATAAAAGGATTCCAGAGTAGTGGTCACAGCCGGGGTTGCGGGGTAAGTGCAATGAGGCACCTCGACCTCGGCCTAGAGCAGGAGAAAGAACAGGGGGGGGGGTTTAGTCAGTAAGAGTCTGACACTCCCTCCCGCCCGGCCCTGGGCAGGAGAAGTCATTTGATGATTTTCCCCTCACAAAAAAAAGCGTAGTGGTCACAAGTTCCAACTTTAAGCTCCTGTGTCACAATACCTGAATACACACTGTGTATCAAACAAATTTGAATTAAGAACGTAATTTGTATGAATATGAAACATAGGTTTATCGGGAATTTTTATGAAGGTGGTAGACGCTCAGTCAAAGATTCGTTGTGACGAATTGATTTGCTTTAGAATGCGTCAAATATAATATAAAATTAACGCTCAAATTTTCATTCAATTGTGCAAGACAAGAAAGATTGATGTAGGTATTTAAAAACCGGGTTCCTTTTAATTGAAATGATTATAAAGTGCAATCTTTTATAAGAGTGTCACAACGCAATGTCGTCACTTAATTGATTTGAGCTTCTCGCAATATGTTGTCATACTACAAAAACGGAATATTTGTTTGTTTAACAAATTTTATATCATTACTAATTGAATATTTTGATCAAACGGTAAATTGTAAATTAGGTAGCTGTAAACCTGTTCACACTAATTAAGTTAATTAGTTAATGTCTTGTTATACTTATAAACTGATTATGTATACCTATTAATTAGTATTAAAAAATAATTTAAAATCAAAACTTAATTTTGTGGTGTATGAAAAATTTCCAACGATAAAAACACTTCATACTTAGTACCTACTTATTGTCCGTCCAAGTAGACCAAGCCATAACTACTTACTTAACACCAAACCATTAACTTTATCAATATATCAACAAAATTATTTGTATAAAGGAAGATGCTGCATACTCATTTTGATTTATACCTCTATCGTTACGTCACCTAAAAAGGCGCGGCAAGCAAGCCTTTACTTAGATCAATCGCACTTACTTGTCAATAAGTTCTAGATTACCTTGACAACTTGAATAATAAAGACAACAGTTTAGGCAGATGGACACACTTCTTATGGCATAGATAAGCAAACGAGTGGACTCAACAACTCCACCCGGAACACCCGACGAGTTAGAAGTCCGTAGTTTGTCTTATAGGAATTGGGAATGGTCCTGATAATTTTCATTAATCCGAAAAAAGGATCAGCATGTAACCCTAAGGCGGACCCCAGCCCATTGACCAGCACGCAACCAAAAAAAAAATATTTTACTTAATTTCTCATCTATGATCATAATCAAGCTAAAGAGGTCGTTTGTTAGTTTGAAGGTTCTAATCTCCTGAACGAATGGTTCGAAATGAACAATTCTTTTTGTGTTTGTTAGTCGATTTATCGAGGAAGGCTATAGGCTATAAAACATCACAACTAACCAACAACTGCGCGAGAGTAGCTAGTCATTAATATAAACACAATAACAAACTTATCACAAAAACTGGATCTCTGTTTAGATCAATATCAGTCGATAAAAATGACCAAACGATACTATTTATTGCCGTTGTACAAATACCGCTAGAAATAATCATGCCGCTGATGTCATACTTATGATATATAACTAGTTAACATCGTATACATGGGTCTAGATCTATGTAGGTATATCACAATAATTAATATCTATCTATATCTATTATTTATTTAGCTACTTTATAACACTATTTTAAAACGTTAAAAATTGTAACTTAAGATGCTATGATAACCACATCGCGTCTCGGATTAAAATCAGACTTTGAGCGTATGATTACTGGGTTTATTTTTCCGTGTTTTCAAAGTGTACAATTAAGACAACATTAAGTATTTATTGTTAAATACGACTTAATTATTAAGACAACTGTAGAAAAGTATTTGTTATTTCGCTTGTGCACTTTCACAGGGAGTTTTTTACAGTGTCACTCTCAACCAATCTCATATCTATACTAATATTAAAAAGAGGTAAAATTTGTAAGTTTGTATGTAGGGGATTATCTTTGGAACCGCTGGTCGGATTGCCAAAATTCTTTCACTGATAGATAGCTACAATGTTCCGGAGTGCTATAGGCTAAAACATCACGCTACGATCAAATAGAGCTGAGCAGCGGGTGAAACCACGCCAGAAAAGCTAGTAATATGTATTATCAGTTTTTGACATTATTTATATATTTATATCAAAACAATAAAGTTGAAGATCGAATAAAGAAAGGAAAAAGGAATAGATTGACCCCTAGTGACCATACCTAAGCCAAATTTAGGAAAACAAGTCTAACTTTAATGATTGTACCACCCTAGGGACAAAGGGCAATTGCTACAGAAACGTATTGACATTCTGCCGTGCTTGGGACTTTGGGAGACTAAGGCTACCCCTTATGTTATGTCTTATCATGATTTCGACACTAGATCTCCTAAAGTCACAGGCACGGCTTACGTTTCTGTAACGTTTACTATTATACACGCAAATTATTGAATACAGGCTATAATTATAATTAAGTGTCATAATTATATCGTTTAGATTCTAAACCAAAAGTTATTAAGAATTTTCAACACCCCAAAATTCAGAATAACATTGACCGAACTAAAAATCGCCTGCCTTTTCATTCCTTCCATTTATATCATCCTTTCACAAGAGGACAATAAAATAAAATAAAGAAACTAAGGCTGGAAACCACTGTATTAAAATATGGTTCTGAAATAATAACCAATAACCAGTCGCATTCCAAAAGAAACTTAAATCTCTACCACATAACTATGCGACCATATTAATTTAATATGGACGTATAGCAACTAAGATGAACAATATACTTAATGGTAATGCGCATATTCGTATTCGAAACGTTATGTGGATGACGCAACCAACTATTTGTGTAACTGTTGTTCCTATTGTACTGGGAGCGGAAAAATCAAGAGCAGAGAAAATCCATAAATCATAGAACGGTATTCGTTTTATATAGTACCTATTTAGAAAAATGTTACAGTTTGCAATAAAATAAAAATAATAGTCTGTTCTGTTAAGTAGGCAATGTTATTGCCTGTGGATGAATAAATTTACCTTTTTGGTACAATCTACTCAAAGGAGTATGTATGACAATTCGTATTAAGATACTGAAGAAAGATAGACACCAATAGTGAGTTAATCAATGGAGTTATAAGGAAAAGGTAACAAGTCTATAAGACATATTTTATTTCAAGAAAGAGTATAAAAAAGATTTTAAAGTTTTATTCAAATTAGATAATCGACTGCACGGTTGCACGGCGCAATGGCTGGGGAACTATATCGCAGATTTGATCCTCGAACAGAAAACATTTTGTAAATCATAATTATTATTACAGTCTACTTGTTTCCTTATAGTAAAAGGAGCTATCGTACAGTGATCCACAAAGCTTTATTGCGACCACCCACGACATACGAGAATCCCAGAGGAAAGCAACTTAAAAAAGACAATTACTTTACTATCTACTAAAACATAAGCTACACTTCTAAGTCGAAACGCGCATAATCAATATCAAATAAACAGAATCAGATCACAATCGAGAGTTGCTGCATCAAAATGACCTCGAATATGAAGAAATGTATTACATCACATTGAAGATCAGTGAAACATGCAAACTTTAGTATTTCAAAGAGATTGCTTTCATAATTCTACATTTTATGATAAACAAAAGAATAGTTGACCTATTTACACAGGATAAAAGAGCTGCGGGGTTATATGAATGGGGAAGTCTGTAAAGAAAATAGGCACTAGAAGACTTGAATATATAAGGATTAAGATAAAGTACGCGGTATACGGATATAGTGCATATATTTTTCTGCAAGCGATAGGAGCATAGTACCAACTTTTTTTTCTATATGATAGATAGGTCGGCAAACGAGCAGACGGATTATCTGATGGTAAGCAATCAGCGCCGCCCATGTGCAACCACAACACCAGGTGAGACACGAGTGCGTTACCGGCCTTTTGAAGATAAGGATTTTCGAGATTTTGGTATTAGGGAGTGATGGGGGGAGGAAAAAACATTATGACGTCATGTTGTGACGATGTCAAGATTTCACTGACGAACAGACTGACAGACTACTATGCTATATTAACGTTTCAAAAGTACTTATTTATGGTTCAGTTGGAATAAATGATTTTGATTTGATTTGATACAAAATCCGTAGAAAAATATAGTTTTTGACGTTTCAAAAACATTATTGAATATGACTAATTGGAAACAATCTCATTTGACCCGGTTTCACAGGAACAAAAAAAAATCCTACAAACACTTTCAAAATATTCATACACTATCAACTAAAATTTCTATGCAACATCTGGCCATAGTGTGGGTACCAACAAACACCACTTTCTTTATTTAGTCCTAAAATCAATTGTATACTACTAAAAATAAGGTTGATCTTACCTTGCGGAGGCAAAGCTTGAACGAAGTTATCAGGGAAGAGACCAACACGCCCGTTCAGTTCCCCGCGCCACCAGCCACGGTCGGGCGCCTCCTTCGAGAGGATCGTCACAATGTCACCCTCGGACAATGTCAGCTCATCCTCGTTCACCGCAGTATACGGGAACAGCACGCGACATAGCTCCTTCACTGTGTACAAATAAGAATGATTATTATATGGTAGATAAAACGTTGGTAATACGGTGGTCGCTTTTACATTAGACGTGTTTACATGTGGGATAACTGAAAAGACGATCAAATAAAACCTAATGAATTTCCAACAAGTGTTTGCCCGCGGCTTCGCCTGTGTTGAATTAGGGTTGCCCTTTCCAAGATAAGAAGTAGCCTATGCCAATTTTCATCCAGATCAGTCCAGCCGTTTTGGGGTGATTGAGTAACAAACATGCAAACATCGCAACTTTCGCATTTATAATGTAAGTTAGAAGTAACATACTATTCTTGAGGATAGGTATGTACGTTACAAATGTACCATATATTTGTATGTCCATCACAGAGGGCCCTTTTGTATACTATAAATAAATATTTATTCAGTCCCTATAGACAAAGTTATTGAGATTCACAGAAACTTGGATAAGTTGTTTGTATTCTAGCTCATATGTCGTAACTATTTACTTTATAACAGAGGGCTTTGTCTCCATTTTTATTTATGTTATCAATTAGTTAGCTTTGTTTAAAACAAAGAAAACATTATAAACAGTGGCGGCATTGTGAAATTACAAGATTTTAAAAAGAACATTGTGTTAAGTTCCTAGTAACTTATACGTATATCACATAACGAAGAACCAAGCATAGCATAAATGTATTTATCAAGACTCACTTTTCGCTCACATCTATATTTTAAGGAGTATTTGTAAGCACATAGTTCACTTTTCCAACAAAACGGGACAAACAAAATAATCTGTCCAAGCATAGCATAAATGTATTTATCAAGACTCACTTTTCGCTCACATCTACATTTTAAGGAGAATTTGTAAGCACATAATTCACTTTTCCAACAAAACGGGACAAACAAAATAATCTGTTTATATGACATTCACACGCAAATTTAATAACATCCTGAACAAATCGTCGGCGGATGATACAGTCACCAAAACGATAAGCAATAAGTCCCCTACACAATATCATCACTTCAATTAACTTAATACCACCAACAATGTATCAATAAAGGCCTGTGCAGACAACGAACTTTTGCCCTCAGAGGACAAAATACCATCTCGAAAAATATTAATTTTTAACTTATAATAATATCATGGGCTATAAGTTATTAACTAACCTGCCTTAATCGGAATGCTTGGGATTGACCTAAGTCTTTAACAAAAATTTAATAGAAATCACTCGCAAATCACTCGCTTTTGCGCTAGTGAGTCCGCTTCATTTTTTCCCGTATTTAGTTTATAAGGCCTAACTGTAATGAAATAATGAATTTATTTTTGTAAATAGACCATAAAACAGCATTATTACACGTCAACATTATAGAAAAAAATCTATACGAAGCTATAATATTCTTTCTGACTACTCTGAGAAGATATGAGGAAACAAATTCAGAGGTCAATCTCTTAAGTATTAGAGAGTATGATATTGATAAACACCCCGTGAATATTACCTCGTCTGCACTGGCCTTAAGACTGGATGACGAACGATCTTTGTATAGTAATATAAGGCTTATGAATGACTCAGACCTCTATGAGAAATATATTAACTAGTTATAGACCATAAACGATGTGTACCGTACATTCTTACTGACATTTAATGCCTAAGAATTTGTTACTTATTGCGCGAATAGCATGTGTTTTGTTTTTTCTGTTATTATTAAAAGAAAAATAATATGTTTGTTTAACAAACTGTGTTTCTTAGGCAAACAGTTAAATAGTTTGGTTGTTGGAAGTGAGCCATCTGCGCCGATCATAGACACTCACAACACAGGGAATCACAATTGCGTAGCTGGCCTTTTAACACATCCAGTGCGTTCTCGACGCACCTGTGCGTTCTGTACATTAATGTATAGAACGCACAGGTGCGTCGAGGGCACACAGAGTAGCGTAAGGAAACGCACATACGCGTCGGGGGCACTGGATGCGTTAAGTAGGAATGGTTTTGTTGAATGTTTTTTAAAATCATGTCTCCGTAATGGATTTATGGGATTTGTAATTCGTTTTTTGGGATATGTCAGTAAAGAATCTGACGGATCACTTAAGGGTAAGAAATCGGCGCCTCCCATTGACACTTGCAACACCAAAGGGGTTACAAAACCGTTGCCGGACTTTTGTGGGTTATTAAGAATGATTGAAAATGGGGGAAAGGATTATGAATTTTTACAATTTTAAGGTTTTATGTTAATGGCAGTATGGGACTCAATAAAATAACGTGATCAGCCTTTTCCTAATCCCTCGGGGAAACGCGTATTATGGATGTATTGTGGTTTAAATACCACATACATATTTACGTAATTACAAATTCCAATAACCTACATGCCTTTCTGTGGTTTAGGAAAACCAACATTGATATCAGGAAGTTGTAGTAAATAGTATATTTTATTATATTAATTCATTTAATATAAACTACCTAGTTAAATTGTATGTTTCTAATAGTTGCATTTACCGGAATTTAATGGCGTATTATTAAAGAAAAAATTATAGTAATACATCGCCATATTCTAGTTACGTATCTGAAAACAATAAATTAGGATGCGCGGACATAGTATGCAGAACGCAAAACAATACCATTTTAGCCTACTTTTTAGCTATCTTTATTCACGCTCTTTGATTGAGGGTGTTCTTAACTAGTGCAATTTTTCTATGAATCTTGCCATTAATTCAGCAAACCTTAAGCGAACGCCGGCGTTGTGCACCTAGTTCTTACGATTGTGTCGAATTATCAGGATTCGGTTAGATATATCACTTTTTTTATTTATAATTGTATATGTGCTAAGTCAGCATTTGGCTACCTACTCGCCTGTTGGTACCATAATCACTCGCTATTTGAAGTCACACAGATGGTACCCTTCGGGAAACATGGACATTGGACTGGAATTCCACGCGTTAGCGGTTATCATAAGGAAACTCGAAACTAAACACTACGTATCAATTAATGGAACATCTACCACTATTTGGGCAATGGTGAAATGGAACAGGAGGGACTGAAGTTAAGCTGATAGGCACTTACCAGGTTTTGGCGGGAGCGCCGGCGCCGGTTCGAAGGGTGGCGCTGGCTGCGGTGGATCTCGTGGGTCCAACATCACAACGAAGTTCGAGGGGAACACCCCCACTCGGCCTTGTCGACGACCTTGCCACCAACCCTCCTCTACCTACACGATAACACTTTTAAACAAACAACCCGACACTTGCGACATTAATCACCAATTATATCGCCACTAATTGAGATTATGAAGAATAAAGGAAATATTTCGTCCTTCACGCTGCTTATCGCTTCGTCAAGAAATAATTTTAAATAACCGTTGTGTTGACATTAACAATAGAAAAATTTCACTGCAAGCTTCTGCATCAATAATAGAAAACCAATCTCTAAAAAGCACACCGATTTCTTTTTTTTTACATATTTTGGTCACTGACTATTCAGTGGCGATACCAAAAAGAGACTAATTTAAAACAGCTTTATTGAAATTATATCTACAAATTAGAAAACGATTACGAGTTTCGAGTGTGAGTCATTATTGTTATATTTATACACTAATATGTATTCTTCGTTTTATTGTGAATTCACGACATTTATTTAGATATAAAAATACCTAAAGAAGCGATAATGCTCATGTAGTGCGTTGACTGTGTGATATTCATTTTCTCTAATAATGAAACGTCGTCCCATAGGTACTAGAATTTTCTCCTCTTTCGTAGGTGTGTTTGCAAATATCATCACACCCAGATCCGGAACAATATTTTGTGGGTGACACCAGGAGTAAATGGCATGTGAGAGCATCGAACTCACCACACATTGTTTGTTCAGCAACCTACCTATACCTACCCATTAGTGTCAGTTAAATATTCATGTTACGTCTGGACTATTCAAGAATGTCGTTATAATCTCATTATATCGTTTAAAATCATGTTTATGAGTGAAACACAAGTTACGTTACCTCTCCAAGGACTTCGAGGACGTCACCAACACACAAAGGCAGTTCATCCGGATTCGCTGGCTGATAGCTGAACACTGCTCGACATTGGCCCTGCACCCTCGTCGGCCTATTGAACAAACGTGACCATACACTTACCACCATGCAGACAGCACTTCAGACTTCAAGCAATCTTTAATAAATTTGCATCTCTATCACATTGGTACAAAGTTGAAAATCTATCGAAGAAATTGACTGATTGAAGGTTGATGTGCGTTCTGTACATTACTTATTATGACATACAGAATAATATAACAGTTGACAATCTGCCGACAGCAGTTTACGGTTGCGTGCTAAAAAGTAATGCGTTAGCAGAACATGTGAAATTGACGGCAATTAACAGAAGCTCAAAAGAATCCAGTTTGATATGTAAATTTTGTAATTGATCAACTAGATCGATTTCTTCGATTTGATATTTCACTCAGACAACACAGAAGTCATAGAAATGAGGGCAGATTTCTTTAGTTCTTGATAGATGATGTAAGCCGTTTGGGGAAATTTTGTTACAACAATGTTTATGGCGAAAAAAATTAGGAATAAGATTAGATACTCTTTCAAAGATTTTTATTTTAAATCTACAATACAAGCTTTTTCAAGTTTTATTAGTAAGTATGGGATAATAAGCACATAAACGCTTTCTAGCTGGCAATACTAAGTTAATCAACAATTAGGTATTCCCTGTATTATTCACACACCTGGCACTACAGGGCCAAACTTTTCCAGGTGTTACAATTAAGACGGATGAGGCACGTAAATAAACATCTGAATCACCCACCTTCTTATTTTCTTCTGATTAAGCAGTTGTAGTAGTAACTGTTAATATTTAGTAAGTAAGTAACTGTTAATATTTTATTGGTATTAACCAAAAAACCTCAAGACATACAAAAATATATCACTAAGGGACACACAACAAACACTGACTAGCGGACCGCACTTCTTATCGCGCTATCTGAGCTGATTAGATAGTACGCGCAGTCATTATTTTTCTACTAATCGAAAATATCATTTAATAGCATATTAAATAATTGTACAATAAACGGGCGCGGTGGTGGAACGACTTTCGCTAGGAGAGACCGACCGGAATCAGCCGGATGTCGTCCGTTATTAAAAATATAAACTAAATTACAGTTCGAGTTATAATGGGTACCTCTCTGAAGCTTTAAAACCATACTGCAAACCGAACACTGTGTACTATAATCGTTCCTAAGAGAATGACATCACTGATTGTGTTAGCAAGTGTATGACTAAAACTGTATAACTTTGTGTGTAACTCAGCACAGAAAATGTCTTTGTCAACAATACAAGTATTAAGTTTTTATACACAATTGATTACTGAGCGTTAAAGTGATTTATTATTCTTTTTCAAATGTCACGTCTCTAGCGTTCAACGGTGTATAATTACCGACGAATAGAATGTACGGAAACATGTGGTTAGGTTAGAAAATTGTAGGGTCTTTTATTCAGCACCATACAATCGAATGGTTTCACTAGATTTTAATGGACGGCAACTTAAGATTGGAAGTTCGATAAGTAGGTGACACGATTTACAATGTTATTTTTTTACATGTTACCACAAAGTCATCAAATGATTTCTCCCGCACAGAAGGAGTATCAGACTCTTAACGACTAAAAATGACTCTTAATGACTAAAAATCTCTCGTTTCTCTCCTTCTCTAGGCCGAGGCCGCGGTGCCTTATTGCGCTTACCCCGGCTGACACAGTAAATGCTACTCGTATAATTTGGGTATACTTTAGCAGGATATTATTCATGGGAAAAATATGCGATGAAACCTGCTCGAATGGTGGTATACTAACATCCACGGTCATAGGTCAAAAGAGACTCAATCATAAATCATAGGTACGTAAGTAGTTTCACAATACAATCAAAAAAAGTCAATATAACAATTAAAATAATACAAATATGTATTTGTGTCAGTGAACTAGACATCAGCCACGCATGGTAATTTTATATTGGTTTACAAACCAGTTTCTTATGAACTATGCGCATGCGCATAGACGGTGCAGGATACCGGACGGACTCGAAATAAGATAACTGTATACTGGTGACCTTAGCATCAATCTTTACAGTTGCTATTGAACTTTGGCATGCACATTGTGTTTGTGTGCTCTAGTTGGCAGAATACGTAGGTAAATTGACGATCTTACTTATCTGTGATATAGTCCCTTTTAATCGCTCCTTTGATTAGTCACATTGAAGATATATTAACCAACATCGTTTCAATTAATTTTATATAATGAATATCTTGAGATACAAAAAGTTTTAAAAATAACGAATTACGCTGAGTAAAGCTCTACTAATTTCAAGTTACATCGGGACGTATGAATGAAAAAAGAGACTCACAGCGGCGTTCCGATTAGTTCATCAATTATACTTAGATTTAAAGAGGACCTCCAAATTATTCTAATGAATAATGACGACTTAAAATTAAACAAACAAAATGTTGCAATTTGCGTGCAATTAAAAATTAGTAAAACAATAAAATATCTCGATACAACTAAAACCTATCAATCAAATGGCTACTGATTTCGATAAAAAAACGAGTTATTTACGTATCCGATATTATATTGTGACTGTGGAACGCGAAACCATTTTATCGTGTAACATAATATATTATAGTTACCGAATGTCTGACAACACGCGACGCGATATAGTAACTAACTCTATTACCTACTTTTCATATAAACATTCGTGCTACTTTTTTTTTAAATAACTATGACCCTAGTTTATCAGATTTATGCCAAACGCTAAACGTCAAATTCTCTGGTTGAGGTTGTTTTAGGCAAGTAAAATAACTGACATCCTTTTTACAGACTGCTTCGAAACGGTATTTTTTTTAAACAATTTAACAGTGCCTTCTGAAGTTAGAAATTATATCTAACTTCAGATAATACTGGCATTTTCGGTTTATATCTGTTACCATTTACAAATCCGTACAGTGACTTAAATTCAATTATATTCGACAGAATAGTTCGCATTTCTTCCATATCACCAAATTAGTAGTGGGGCAGCATTGCCATAACCCTTACCTTACGTTAGCATGTTCGAGTATAGACACAAAGTTATCAGGGAACATGCCGCGGCGACCTCTCAGCTCTCCTCTCCACCAACCACCGGGTAACCGCTCTACGTCACGAATGACGTCACCAGGCCTCACTGTCAACTCATCAGGCTCTGACGCGTCATACGCGAAGTTCACCACGCACGACACTGGAACAAAACAAACCAATTGTTAAACCCTACCTTGAATACATAATGAGGTACACTTGATGTGGTTAAAGAATGGCTTTTCCTTATTCTCGTGGCCAGATGCATGATTTTAAAAGCAAATATAGAATGTATGGTTGTAGATAGAGGTGGCATTCTCTTATTTCTGCATACTAACATGGGACTATTGTTTGATTTTTTCTATAGTTAGTTTTCAGAAGACAAATATTAGGTTTAAAGGTTAGGTTAGGTTGAAAGTTAAAACTTCATCAGTTTATATGTCAATAACAATTTAAATAACTGGAGAGTATCATAATATTGATGTTGATTAGAATAAACAAAATACACATTGATATTACTTAATACATCGCAAAAAATATTTCTAACAAAAAATATGTATAGCGTATTTACAGATTTGAATAAGATTTCTAATTTCTATGATTTGAAAAATATTCTTATTTTATATTGTTGTACTCCAAAATTGTTAAAATCTAATTCCATTAAATTAACAGGAAAATATATTTCATTTCATTGATGTGCAATATTTCTAAGCAGACAGTAAAAAGAGTTCTTGTGAGTCCAATGTAAATATTTAATTATTTTAAATGTTACAATATCAATAGTCACTACAAATTTTCTTTAAGCATTGTTATTTATTTTAAGTAAATCTGAAAGTTTGTAAATAAAGGTAGGTACCTATGTTAACTTTGACACTCAAACTACTGAATGGATTTGAACGGAATTTGGCACAGTAATAGATTATAGTCTGGAATAGCATAATGGCTATGAGAAGCAGCTACATCTGAAGCCTAATTTTCATATGATACATTATTTATAGACCATTTAGGGATAAACATACATATAATGTATCCTTCAAATAAATGTTATTTCATTTCAAAAGACCAAAAACCCTTTCTTCACACTTTATGAATAGTAGAGACAAAATATCAACTCAAGATAATATTATGATTCATTATATACACTAGAATGTATTAATTAAACAATATGAATCACTATGAAATAGAATTACTAAGTACTTCAATAAAACTTCATTTTGTTATTGTTTTTTGTTATTACTAAAACATGTTTTACTTCTTGAATTGGAGTTTATTTTCAGTAGAAATAGCAGTTCGTTTTAATATAATAATATGAGTTTTGATACCATATTACTGATTATTTATTGTTGCAATTGATAATTATATACAGGTAACACTTTTACCTTATATGCTTGTATTATGTACAATATTACCTATGTTTAACTTTGGCTCAAGGAAAAAGTTCTGAAGTGATAAGTTTAAGGCAACAAGCTGACTAGGATAAATTTTCGTATTAAACATAAGATTTGACAGAATAACAGATTTTTGGCAATAAATATTAAACTTTGATTTATGTTAGCAAACATAAACAGCTACTAAAATGCAAGTATTTTAATGATTTCAGTGGCATAAATAGCTTCGTATTTTAATACATACAGTTATCTTTAGCTGTCCATGCATTGTACAAATAAGATAAAAGATAAGTACAATCACAAGTGGAAAAAGAAATGACAAAATTAAAACTTCATACTACATGTGGTAGATAAGAAATTAACTACCAGGAATCACACCCAGATTAGCAATGAAACTTAAAAGAGCATTAGAGAGGAACCCATAAACCAATATATTTAATTTAAAAATAATATAACAACATAACCTATTCAGAAATAGATAGATTTTAGCTTACAACAAGGAGTTCTATAAAAAGTTATTATTTACACTATTTTAAGTAATAATAACAGTGTCTAACCCAACATGTTGTTATCCAAAGGTGCAGGAACGTCGGGCTTATTAGTATTTCACATGCACACGACATTACAATGCCAACAAAGTGACTCATACTAAACTAGGCTCTTGAACACTCAACGAGAAGAGCAACAGTTGTATTTATCAACAATTCTTACAGATTTGAATATTTCAATCTGTCTTCACGCCGAATTTCAAGCGATAAGAAAGTCATCAAAAACATGATAAGCTCATTTTCCGTCTTATGACGCCCGAAATGGAACTCAATACACAAGAAGTATACAACTTATACATGCTAATAACTGTGGACGCATCAAAAATATGCGTTTAGGGCATCTACGTCAGCCAAATAAATGTCGCAAGATTTGCAAGATACAGTTATTCATACACAAACAAGAGTAGACCTTTCCGAGTGGCAATGTACTCACCCTTCTGATTTGCATTTGTCTCCATTTCGAATTCTATTAACACATCACATTATCACTTCAACACCATAAATTAAATTAACTAATGCTCATCTTTTATTTGAATCCCAATAAATTGCATGTGATATATTATAAAAATTAGGACAAACAAGCGTGCAGGAGAAATTATTTTCACTGTTTTTGATATATGTCAAACTACTTTTTTAGTAGTGCTGTGGTTTGCTGTATCGGAGTATTAGCCTTTTGACACCGGTATGATCGATAATAAAGGTAAAAACATATTATTAGAAAACGTGTGTGTAGTTTTTTAACCAGATCATTTTTATTATTAATAACTATATTTTAACGTTCTTACTGTCTGTTTGAATAATATACAACAATACAGCTGTTGTACTTAGCAAGAGGGGCACGGGTGGCTTGAGCTATTTTGGTAATGAACCTACTTTTCATTATCATCTTTCTTTTGGAACGAACATTTTAGTTTTATTTCGAATTTTTGCAAATAGAGACTGACAACTAATCCATGTGGGCAGAGTGATCGCAAATACTACCTTCTAACTCAAGATTTTTCAAAAATAGGTTTACAAATCAGATGGTTGGGCAATATAAGAATTCTATTGTATGGGACTCATAAGGCTGCCCATATATAATTTTTTTTTGTAAATTACTTTCATGGTATCATATTAAGTTTATAGGTATCTAAATAGATATTCGTATTTTGAAAATTCTTAGTAGGTAGTATTCCGTAAACTGGAATAGAGGCGCGAACAGTGTGTATGAGATGTCTCGCGTCCTGCGAGCAATAAAGGACCGAAATAATAAAAATGTTTAAGTTATCATGAAAAGCCCTATTTCCAATAATCATGATGTTTAGTCCGCTCTCTTGAGCTCATACCATCGTGCACCTCAAATCCAGAATTAATTGTTTCGGGTGGTGTTTTCTTATGCATGTAATATTATACAAAATTTTCATGCATAAAAACATATTGCAAGAAAAATATTTGGTGTAGGGCAATATTTATTATATATATTATAGTAAAAAATACAAAAGTAGCTATCAAAGTCAAAATTATTTATTCCAACTATACCCTAAATAACTACTTTTGAAACATCAAAATAGAATAGGTGCTTGTTCCAAATTGTATTAAAATGGAATAGAATAAGGAATCGCCATCATTTTTTTTATAAACAATACTATAGTTTTATCATTGATCACTAATAAAGTGACCGATGAGTTTTACTAATACATTAGTACCTTTACATTATTGTATCCATATGTGGAAACAATGCAGAGACAAGTTGTTAAAAAAAAGAACAAATGATGGGATCATGGGTCTCAACTCAAACATGGCAAATGTTTGATACTAAAGGATTGATTAGTTCTGAGAATTTTAGTAAGTACAGTACTTACTAAAATTCTCATTATCTCATTCTCTTTATTATTTGAGTATTATACACAATAAGGATATTTTTTTTTTGATGATTTTGTTCTACAACTTCAAATTTTATAATATTCACACATAACCCCGTATAGGATTATCAGATACCTACCTTAATATTTATTCCATTTAATTTTACAAAGTAAATAAAAATATTTCCAACACTTTAATGGTGTTGATGAAAGGAAACAACAATAGAATAAGCCTACAGATATTTCATATAATTTAAATAACATCAACAGAAAAAAGAACTACAAATTGAAATATTCATATTCACTTCCTCAATGAGCCCTCGGAGTCTGGTGGTATGCCAAGTTCCTCATCAGTGTAGCTTCGGGGATCAACATATGGAAATTCACCCTAGAAAAATGTTATAACATAAATAATACTTAAATAAATAACAGTTTAATGATATTTTCAGACATCTTTACAGACTTCGGACAGCCACTTGTACCAATTAATCCTTGTTTGCTTCATGCTGTGCTTTGGGCCAAAATTAAATGGCATATAACTTGCCCAGGAACATAACAAATATTTCAAAACCAAAATTTCTTAACAAGATTTACAAACAGCTATTTATGTTTATATATAAGATTTGTGGACATATAAAGTAATGTATCTCACTCCAAACACATATTGAATGCATATTCAACTTTATATCAGAACTGATTGCAATATTATTTTTATATCCATGTAGGACCCATGCATGTTTTATATTTGCTTATTCCTTATATCCTTATTACAAAAAAGGGTGTTTCATTTAAGTTTGAAAAAGTACTGTAGAAATCATAGAGATATCAAACTTTACAGTCACTATTCAAATCTTATTTAATCTCTGCTATGGTACTGGCTATTAGTATTCATCTGCTAGTATGTTATTATTATTCCATTTGTTGAATTTAATTATACTTACAAAGACATGATCTGGCTCAGTAATGAGATGCCAAAAGATCCACCACCAGGCCAATGCTCCAAGACCCTCAGCTAAAAGGATAGATTTCCTAGACGGGAGTGGTGGTGGTACTCGGTATGACCATGTTCTAAAATAAAAGGTTAAATGTCAGTAACAACTTGAGCATTTCTAGACATTGAACACAGAAATTGGAAGATTAAATAAACAAAACAGTATAAACACCATAGCTTTAACGTAAAACAATTACAGTTTTATATTTTCATTATTTATTTTTGGGTTAAATGGTTAGTACAAAATTTGCGAACATTATTTTTAATCAAAACTCAATGAATGACATAACAAGCCACTCACCCATGGCCTGAGTTTCTTTTAGCTTGCTTTACGGTAGCTGCACCATTTTTAAAAGCTTTTAGCAGAACAGCCCTTGAGGCTAATGTTCTAGTCAACATTTTACTATTTATGTAAGGATTTTTATGTAAAAATCCAAATTAAAAGATAAAGTACAATTCTGCTAGTCTGATAGCTGACCCAGACCTGTCAATGTCAAATAAACTGACAAATGACAATGACAACTAAAAATCACTAAAAAATGATAATACATTGTTCAAAAACCATAAAAAGGAATGATAAGTTACAATAATTGGTTTTTCCCAATTATAATTATTATTGATTTCCTTGACCTTCTATGAGTAGTTCGAGCAGAAATTGGTTTCTGTATGTAACAATTTAGCAAAGAGCTCGAAAATGTTTTTTTCTTTCTCAGTAACTTATGATCCTGACGGTCTGTGGTAATGTGTTAGTGCCCGGTTCTTGGCCAACTTTCATTTGATGGCTTATGCATGGATTGGCTCGAACATTTCACAGTTTTGGATAGGTATTTAAAATTATTTTATATCTTAATGCACCAAAAATATTACTTAAGGTGGGCGTAATGCGATAGGCATTCTCTAACAGCCAAAACTTTGGGTGATGCAAAGATAAATTACAATTACATAAATGTATGACAAACATAAAATACATAAAATGTAATATGTACATATTTTATTTTGGAAGTTGTTAATACATTTAAACACACATTTTATATCACCGAGGTGTTTTTCAGCCAGATGTGGCGTGATCATTGTTTTTAAACCTTTGTCGATGACAAAAGAATTCATTGCAATGGATTTAGCTATCTCCCACGCTTACTGTGTACAAGTGAAATTTGTAAGGTACTCAATACCGTTTTGGCCATGGCTGTATATGTGTCCGTTTTGTATATGTCTCAGTTTCAGAAACTACTGAATGTTTTGTCTCTAATTCTAATTATGTACATCCTTCGATTCGCAGCAAAAAGTTAATATTATGTGTTGATCCTTCACTACTTTAGTAATGGCATGTATGATATGTTTGTAATAAAACTCGTCGTATAATACAAAATAATCCTTTAATGTTCAGGTTACAAGACTAATCTCCCTTATATCTCTTGCCGCCCAACCGTCTATCCATCCACTCCCTTTTTTTCCCGCCCTCTCGTCCCGGTTCCACAGACAACCCTCACCTCACTCGTTCACTCGTTCCCGCTCATTTTTATTATTTCAAAAGATCGATACAAAAATCGATTATTGAAATAGTCGATTTTTGTATTGTATAACGTAATTAATACTAGGAACCTTACACTCGTCCATCCTGACCTCGTGTATGTCCTCATACACGTACCTGGGTGAATTATGCTAACCTTACACTCGGCGAGGGTGGACACTTACAATTTCATTTACTAAATCATATTTGTATACAATTTAAATACAATTTCCCTTATAACGCTAACATTAACAAAACATGTATGTCTACGCAATTATTCAATGTAACAATAAAGATAGAAGAAAAAAAAATACATCATACAAATATAAAGATACTCAATAAGTAAATTCTTATTAACAATTTATCTGTTTATATTAAGATTACTTCATCTCTATTATCCAAGTGTCAACAAAAAATAATAATAATAACAGCCGTAAAAATCAATTCATATATTGTGAAACCATCCCGTTCTTACAGGAGCACCGACCACTTTGTCGTAAACCCATCCAATTCTTACGACAAAAAGGATATAATGTTAATTAATTAACTTGCGAACCCATCCAGTTCTCGCAAGAGTAAGTTTAATCCTTGCTAACCCATCCAATTCTAGCAAGATAAGCTAACCTCAGCACGATCCTCGCTAACCCATCCAATTCTAGCGGGAATCTGACTGAGATCAGGTTAGTAAAGTGCTATAATGCGTGCCAACCCATCCAATTCTGACACGACTATAACACAATACATTTACTTATACATGAGTGGACTTAACAAGACTAACTAACCCTAGCACTATCCCCGCAAACCCATCCAATTCTAGAGGGAACAGAGACTAGGGCCAGGTAAGTAAAGTGCTACGATGCATGCCAACCCAACCAATTCTGGCACGACTGTAACAAATTACGTACGTATACAGCTTCTTTATATATTAGTAAGCTTTATATATTTCCGCTTACATTTTACTATTCATTCAATAATAGGTATTCATCTTAACTATTGTAAACATAGAACATAAATAATACATTTGTAAAGATTAATTAGGTATTATAAGAAAAAGAATACTAGCAATTACGGTAATACTCAATTACAAGGTAGCGTAATATCATTCACTTTCTGAAGCAGAATAATTTACATTTTCATCGCCAGAATCACTATTAACTTCAAGAGCCGCCAAGTGAACCCAGGGCAACATGCGATCGGCTGCCACCGTAGTTTTACGCTTAGACTTAGTGCCAGTCAGTCCTGGTATTCCTGCTAATCTGTATCTTTCATTTCCTAACACCTGTGTAACTCTGTACGGTCCAGAGTACGAGGGCAAAAGCTTCTTACTTTTCCCGTCATTGTTAAAAGCAACCTTTGTTATTTTAACTAAGTCTCCCTCCTTATAAGTTCGCGCAGGTTTCCTATTTCTATCATAATATTCCTTTTGTTTAATTTGTTCCGCTTGTATTTTATCTTTAACCTGTTCTCTTATTTCTCCTACATCACTATATTCCTGTGTATTTCGTCTTACGTCATTGAGTTTTGGAACTAACTCTGCATTCATAGACGTGCCGAACATCACCTCTGCTGGGGTTCTCCCTGTCGTCTTTTGTATAGTGTTATTTAAGCCCCATTGCACAACTCCTACCTTCTCATCCCATGCCCTTTCATCGTTATCTAAGTTTTGAGCTGTTAAAGCATTTAATATTGATCGATTGTAACGCTCAACCTGTCCGTTGGAGCGTGGACTAGATACCGCATTTAAAACATGTTTAATTCCCTTGTCTAAGCAAAACCTTTTAAAGGTATGTGATGTGAAGCAAGACCCACGGTCACTAATGATACGGTCAGGGCATCGAAACATATAGAAAACGTCTTCTAACGCACGTATGACGTTCTGACTGTTCGTATTCCGAACGGATTTTATGAATACGAACTTTGTGAACGCCTCTACAATCACTAGCAAATGTGTGTTTCCGCGTTTAGATCTCACGAAGGGCCCGAGGTGGTCAATATGGACGGTGTGGAAAGGAACCTCGACCTTCTCGATACTATGTAAATATCCTTCTTTAGCATTAGCGGTTTTCTTCGCATATGCACATTGTATGCACGCCTGAACGTATTTTTTAATAAATCTAGACATTTTAGGGAACCAATATGATTTCTTTATTCGCTCTAGGGTCTTTTCCACACCAAAGTGTCCGATGTCATCATGATTTAACCGACACAGTTGCCACCTCGCTCCCTTCGGTACAACCCAGCGAAGATTGTCTTTGTCGCCATCGATAATCTTAAATAATTGGTTATCTTTAATGACGTAATTGTCCCTAATATATTTCAAACCATCTGCGTCAATTTCCGAGGAAACTATATTTTTAATTCTACCTAGCTCGGAGTCTCCTAATTGCAAGGTTCGAAGCCAATCGTCACTACTAATGGTCATAACTGCTGGATACTGGCTCAACGCATCGATAGTTTCACTATCTGAAACCGGATTACGAGATAGTGCATCCACATGTGACATCCTAACGCCAGCTCTGTATTCTATGGAGCATTGGAATTCCTGCAGCAACAACCACCACCTAGCCACTCGCGGAATTATGTCGCGTTTCATAAAAGTGCTGCGCAACGCGCTGCAGTCAGTTATAATCCTAAAATTTTGACCGAGAAGGTAAACGCGGAATTTCTTTAAAGAACAGACCACTGCCAAAGTTTCGAGCTCGTAAGCATGGAAATGTTTTTCTTCTGGTGTGGTCTGACGGCTATAGAACGCAACGGGTCGGTATGTATCGCTGTTTGGTGGTTTTTGCAGCAGAATGCCTCCAATACCAATTTTGCTAGCGTCTGTGTGGAGTTCGGTCTCGGCCTTTGGATCATATATAGCCAATATGGGCCGTTTTGTCAGCCTATCTTTCAAATCCTTAAATGATTCTTCCTGTTCGTCCGCCCAACACCAAGGAGCATCCTTCCGCAATAATTTATTTAGGGGATGGGCCACTTGTGCAAAATTCCTTATAAATTTGCGAAAATAACCGACGAGCCCTAAAAATTGCCTGACAGTATGCTGGTTGGACGGCCGAGGAAAATCAATAACGCAACTAACTTTCTTATCCCCAGGTCTGATTCCTGCGGCACTAATTTCGTAACCGAGATAATGCACTCTATCAGTTAGAAATTCGCACTTGGACAGGTTTAAAGTTAAATTGGCCTTTTCGATTAGTTTTAAGATATTTTCGAACCGGTTCAAACATTCCTCTTTATCTCTACCATAGATTAGAACGTCATCGATGTATGCAGTTGCTTCGGTGTATCGTGCTGATCCCAATACCTTATGCATCATACGCTGAAAAACGGCGGGGGCGTTTGCAAGGCCGAACGGCATACGATTGAACTCATAATGGCCGTCCGGCGTTACAAACGCCGTCAGTGCTTTTGATGCTTCGGAAATTGGTACTTGATAGTACCCGGATGCCAAGTCAAGTGTGATGAAATAAGCCTGACCAGATAGTCGAGCGATTTCATCCTCGATTATTGGCATCGGATACCTTTCTTTTACCGTAATCGCATTAAGCAATCTATAGTCAATACACATCCGCATCTTTCCATCTTTCTTTTTCACTAGAATGACGGGGCTCGCATACTCTGACACCGATTCCCTAACAATGCCAGCGTCTAGCATTTCTCCTACCATCTCGCGAACCTGCTCGCGTTCTTTGTGTGACAAGCGATATGGACGATAAACAATGGGTTGTCTACTTGTTGTTTCTATTGTCATCTCCGTAACATTTGTACATCCCAAGCTTTTTAAGGATGAAGCAAAACAATGTTTATATCTGTGCAAAATATCCATCAACTTCCGTTTGTCACCTTCGGTAACACCTTCACCCATTCGGACTAATTCGTCATCAAAATTTTGAGAATCAATAGCAAAATCTTCAAAATTATGAGATAAGATACGATTTACTAAAAGAACTTTTGTGGCGCGACATAATGGCCGCTGTTAA